GATATCATTCAGAGTATTTCCAGAAAAATAGTTTTTAAAAACACTTGCATCAAAATTATCTGTGCAAAAGGTGTTTTTTGATGGCTTTATTTGTTTATTTAATGTTAATGACATTCTGTAGACAGCCAAAGGTTTATGAAAACAAGAAAAATTTGTTTTCTGTAGTTTTTTTTTAAATGGACAAAGCTTTTTTTATAATGCTACAAATGACTTAATAGAGTAAAATAAAATGCCCATTGCAAACTATGACATAAAACTAAAACATGTCGTAATGTATTGAAATTAATACATAATTATTATTCTTTACTGCAGGTTCAAAGCAGTTTTTGTAAAAAGCCATGTCACTTTTTGGCTCCAGTTTCAGACTTACAGTATTCTCTCGGTAAACTACAGTATTTTATGCCACCAGTAAAGTGTTTTACATCATTCCTTATTTTCATTTCCTGCTGTTCGTCAACTTCCCTTTCCATTTAATCTCATTATGTGAATTTTCTGGCACAGAAGCGTGACACATTGATGCAGAGTTCCTTCTTAATTACAATATGCAGAAAGAGGGGGAAAAGGGCTATTTTAAGGCAGGGGCAGTGCTTCAATAAAACACCACGTAGATAAAATAGCACACGAAACAAGACTGGCTGAGTGTGACWAATTATTTAACGCAGCAGAGGTACTTCTGCTCCGCGATGAAAACCAACTCTGCTCGTGGTTTCAGTGGCTGAAAGCCTCATAAGGCTGCAGCTGGCACAGAGCAGCTCCCATCACAGCAACGCTGTGTGAATGTTAATAGCTCTGCACCCACTCCAAAGTGCTAAAGTCTGCCAGTTCCCACATTACAACAAAGAAGTGGTGATGCATCAAAAAAAAAGATCTATTTTCTATGATTTAGTAGAACCACATTTTTTTTTTTGTTTCTGTCTGAATCACATATTTCATCCCAGGAGCTAATAGATTAATTTTTTTAAGAGTTTCTGTTTATTTTGCAACCTCATATCAAGGTCAAACATTCCATCCTAAACAAACATTAAAAATGTGACTGGAACTGACACCAAGGTGCATTCTGACCAACCTAAATGTGACYCAAACACTTTGACTAAAAGGTTGCTTCAAAAACACCACCATCTAGTGGAAGAGCAAACGAGAAGATGCTTGGCTTTTTGCTGAATCACAAGTTTTACGTAACCCAGAGGCTGCGGGTTCTAGCCCAGGTTGCGTCACGACGGGCATCCAGCGTAAAACAATTGCCAAATCTTTCGTGGGAGTTTGCTCGCTGCGGTGATACCTGAAGAAGGGAGCAGCCGAAAGAACAACAACTGAAACACAAGTTTTAGGTTGGTCGGATTGGGGGGATATTTCTTATGACAAAATCTGGTTAATGTTTTGTGTGGATTAGATATATTTACTTATTCAACTAAATATGAATAAAACACAAAAATACTAATAATACCTCATACATCTGTTTAAATATTTCAAAATGAAAAAGAAGCAATCCTTGAGTTGTTGTAAATTCCCTGCTTCTTTGCAGGACAAGGATTAAACACTGTGATTTGTCAGTGCCCTATAGGAGATGACTCTGCTACTAAGACACCAAGTTTTATGCTAATACTGTATCTACAATAGACGGAGTTATAGTCATTTTTCTGAGGATGTGCTCAGCCTAAACAGTCTGATCTTAAACAAATGAACAAGAGCTTACTGGACTTCACTTTAGCTATTTGATTATGAACAGATGGTGCTAAAGCTCTAAAAGAGGAGCAAAGCCAGGTCTCATCTGGTAATGGTTTGTCTAGCCATGCGTGTGCAATTCTTAACCTGCCTCAACTTGTGTAATTATAAAGTTTTGATGTCGGGAAATTAGACCTAGTTTGTATTTGTTGACTTTTACACACTTGTCATTTGCAAGACCGGTAAAAAAACTGCAGAGCAAAGTTCTGACAGACGGGGTGCTCTCAAAGGCAAATAAATGATCATATTTTATTTAAAAGACATCGATTTCCTGGAGCCTTTTCTTACTTGGCTGCTWCAACTGTATTACCACTTACTGACACTGATATTCTATGACTCGTCTGAGAGATGGTTCAGCATTTTATAAGAGTCAAAACTGGTGCTCATTACAAGTGGCAGACATCTAAGAGAAGCTGGACTGTATCAAGCCCTGAAAATGGTTCTCAGAAACTAACTGTTCTCTATGAACATAGCAGCACAGGTGAAGGAGCTGCTAATAGATTGAACCCACATGGAGCCCAAGGTTGGTCCATCCAAAGTACAAAACAACCCTGAAGGGGGTTAATTCCAACCATCTGACAAATAAATCGCCACTGCACAACACAGAAATGTCTGTCATCTCAGCAGCTTCAAGGGGGCCAAGAATGGAAATGGAAGTAGCACCAATAGAGCCAAGCAATAGCTACTGATCAGCAGAACAATCGAGACAGAAACATTCAATGCACTGTCTAGAATGACCACGAAAAAGCCAAAAGTGACAAAGAGTTGAGTGAAAGTCTATAACGTCAGAGACCCCATGAGTGCAAGAAGTATTAGGAACCATCCAGAAAGACTAAAAGTCCAAACATGGCATGTGACACAGACAGATTGAAGAAGTGGCTGATACTGGGAAGTCCAGTATGTAAAAATGGCTGGACTGAAAGACAGCTAGAAGGAACTAATCAAACCAGCACTTCAGTGACTGGAGTCTACCCCAATGACCAGGACACTGGATCATGTTACTGTGGTCAACAAACATAGTGAATGTGCAAAATTACAAGTGGAATCAACCCCATAAAAGCAACCAAGAAGTTCTAAAAAGAAAATAAATAAAAAGAAAAAAGAACAGCAAAGAGAAAAGTGTCACTGGAAGCTGAAACATTCAGCCAAGCATGGGAGAAAAATGAATTGTTTGGTTGAAATTGATTATACTTGCCTGAATCTCATCATTTAATTCCACACACTTCCATCAAAGCATGGCACTGCTTCACACAGTGCTGTCTGATATAAAACAAGTTTTAGCAAAAAGTTTTCAGCATCATTATTCACATTTGCWTTTAAAATTGCTTTCCAGTCTCAATACTTAATGCTCTAAAAGAGACAGTAAACTGGTTCAATGTTATAAAGAATAAAATCATCCACATTGAAAACTTCTGTTTTATTAACAGCAGGTTTATTGACATTCATCGGGAAAGTTGCATACTTAATTCTATTTCATTCATTCCTTTTTTTTTAAATATAGTAAAYAAGCAGTGACAGCTAAATTTGAGTGTTTCCATTCTGGGCGATTACAGAAGCTGGTGGACTTGAGCAATTTGATCCAAAGACATAAAGTGCATATTCTCATAGAGTAAGTGATATTTTCATGTTAAAATAGTTTTATATTATTCACTCCCAATGGATTCTCCTAAAAACATTTTTTATGGATTTTTTTAAATCACCTAAACATTCTATAACGCCTTGTTTGATAGACAAAATGATCTTTTTCTAGCACAGACAATGCTTTTGAGGGGTAACATTGTTGCCCAATTTCAACCTTTTCACTCAGTGAATAAGTATTTTGAAATAATGCAGATTTTCAAGAAACGTGTGAAACCATAGGGTTGTCCCCTTCTGAAATCTTTCTARGAAGGTTTTGATGATGACTTGTAGGCACTCTTTTCTGTCTGCACAAAATCTAATTCACTTTGCACAAACTGATCACTCCAAAGGATCTGAAGATACGTAGTATTATAGCAAAACAGTTCTCATTTTTTATTAWTTTTTTTTGTATTCGTGATCAAGTGTCAACATCTTTAATTCATAATTAGATATTTGGTTTGCTAAAAGGTAAAGATTTCCTTTGGTTTGTTTGCCAAAGATTGATGCAAACTGAAAGTCCATAGCTCAAGTCTGTGGTTTGACTTATTATAAGTGTTGACACATAGTTTCAAACAGTTGTGTTTGGTCACAACATTATGCCCTGCTCAGCCCTTAGAATTCCATTTCAACCCATCTGAACTCAACGGTGAAGCACTTCAGCTGTGACGACAATAACGTGTGTGACGATGCAGGGATTAGGCATCAGGGTGGAGAACAGAATTGGGCCACAGACTTATTTAACAGCTTAAAAATTGTTACGTCATAGCTGGGAAAAACACAGGTGTATCACTGGTGACCGACATCATTTAAGGTTTTAAACATGCTGGTTTATTGTCATGCTTTACTGGTATACATAGACTGAGCCATCGTCAGCTTTTCTTCCTTTGGCAGGCCAAAACATTCGTCTTACATATTTAAACCATTACAAATCAATTTGTAAAAATCATACATACTTATGATTGTCTGATGTCTAAGCCTGATGGTGTGTTGGTTTCAATCAGTCACCACAAAGTCCTTTTCAGTCGATCTTTCTGCATCGCGCGAGTCCTCCTCTGTCTGTCTGCGATGCTGGAGCTGAGGCTCTGCGTGAGGGCTGGGAGGACAACCCTCGACTGAGCCGTTCCTGACCTAGGAGATGACGAAGACAACATACATATCTAATGTTAGTGGTGGGCACAGTTCCCCTAAAGCACTTAAGCACTAATAGGGGAACTTTCCACCAGTGCCACTTAAGTGTAGTGTTGGTACGGTCAGTGTCAGAACGTGTCAGTTCGGGTGCTTTGACGTTCCAGTSTGGTTCCAGTGGGTGTGTTTTGGGCGGTTGGTGGAGGTGGTTTTTGGGTTTTTCGAAAAAAAAAGTTAATGCGCAAAATGAGAGATGGAAACACGTTTGCAGAATAAGTTCTGAAATTTTAAAAAATTTGCTAAAAATTCTAATTAAAATTGGATGGAAACACGACTAATGTCACTGCTACAATTGAAAAAAAAAAATGGTGCCTCGAGTTGTTGTAAAGGTAGCTTACAGTGGCAGTGACTCCACCCCCTAGCCAATCAGTGACGAACAGTGTTCTGACATCGCATTTTGGTGTCGACTGGGACCACTTGGAACCACAACGAAGTAGGTACTAAATAAAGGGCTGGTTCCTTGAATCTGGCCTAATGGAAATGGCTTGGAACGGTACCGAACCGTACAGACACTACACTAAGTGGCACTAGTGGAAAAGGGGCACAATTTCCTGATTAGTGCTTTTGGGCTTTTTCTAATTTGAAACTTCATTTAGTGGATTAGCACTTGCTAAATTTATAGGCTAAATTTAGAAGCACTAACTGAGGTCTACAAATGTTATTGATCAACATTAATGTTAACAGCTGATGGTGTAAGCTGTCACACATTTTGTTCATGTGTGTCACTTATCTACTAGGTGACAACAAATGAAACCAAATACAGCTGTGGAATGTCAATGATAAGACTTAAGTGAGCAACATGGCAACACGTGACGCATGTTGTCTGTTGAAGAATGTTCATGGGTTGACTGGATTATTTTAGTRAAGAATTAGCTTTTGCTAAAACTTTCAGTGCATTAGTGCTTTAGAATTAGGGGACCTAAATATCTGAGTTACTGTTTRAGGGCTAGTGGAACTAATTTTTAGATTAGTGCTGCCCACCACTGTCAAATGTAAATGACATTTCAAAACTAAAAAAGKACCTCAATCTTGCACCTTTTACAGTGGTTCGGATTTACATTAGAAAAATATAATACTCTCCCTGCTTGGAGTTTAAGAAAACAACTTTTTATTGTTATTTCCTTCCAACAGTTAGTGYGATATTCAAACTTTTTTACACTTGATTTTAGCTTTGCAATTAGCTGCAAATAGCTTCATAAGTTCTATATTCAAAGACTTTTAAAAGGAAATGAGCTACCAATGCTCTACACTCTTTAAGCTTTGAAATACTGAGTAGAACTTCCTCCACATCTCCTAATCTGTAACATAGCTGTACATTAAATGGTTCAAATGACATAAGCARACAATTATGGGCTGAATACATAAAAACTTCATGGGGAACCCCTTTTACATAAAAACTTAAATGCACCAGTAAAACATTGGCCATATGGTTAATTCTCYTCCATAAAAATGAGAATAATAGAATTAATTTAACTTTTGTTCCTAAGGGCCGTGCAATAGTAATTAAAGTCCTATTCACATCCACCTAGCTTCTAAAATCTTTAAACCGTTGAATCTAAATGCACACAAAGCAAATAAGACCAGTTTCACACAAAAATACACAAAGTGTCATTTTGGAAGGACAAATGAAGCATACATGTTCTCTGGAAAAGACTGGAGACTGAGTTTGGGAAACTTCTTGTCTTCTACAGATTTCCTGAAACACACAAAAAGGGTCATTTGACAAACTTTATATTAAAGTTGATTGTATGTTAATAATAAAGAGCACAATTATATCACTTTACCTAGTTCCATCAGTGAGGTATGACTTGGTCAGAATGTAGTTTTCTGGAGTGATTTTCTTGCACAAAACAATTTCTCTCAGCAGCGCCTTCACACGAACAATCTGCACGACAAATTGTCAAATTTATAAATACAGAAAGTGAGTGTAGTAAAAACAAATGATCAAATGCTTTTTTTAAAAATATTTCACCAGATTTGGCAGGAAACGTATTGTGATAAGCACTTACTTCCTGAGACTGCAAACTGTTTGCATTGTAAAGCTGGCGGATGATGACCTCACACTCCTGTAGGGTGGGGGCTCGCGGAGGACGAGAGAGACCGCTGTGAATTCGTAGAGGATGTAAGGAAGTGACGAGGTGCTCCTTCATCTTTGTGCCACGGTCCTGCTGAGCTTTACTGCCTTCTTCAAAGCTATTTCTCAATAATGAGATAATTAAGAAAACGTAAAAATGCTAAAAACAAATTTTTTATTATATATTTGTATACTAAACAAATGTGTAAAGGCTAGAAACAGATTAATAGATAAATCCTTTTAAAACTTCGAATCAAAGATGGTCACTATGCTGAAATCTCTAATGTGTGATTTGTTTTCACAAGTTCATTTCTGTTACAACAGTTTTCTCTAAATCAATAAATCACTAATAAAAAAACATGGTGGAAACAGGAGGCATGCTGAAGGATGGGTTTAGTGTGGTTGAACGGAAACGTACCTAAAAACCTGGTCTTTCAGCGGTCGTGTGTCCTGCAGTGGCCCCTCCAGACAGAGTGCAGCGTGGGCTTCACCACCCTGAGCGGGTGGTCTTTTGTCTCGTGGGTCGTGCGTCCTTCCTACAGGGAGCACATGCAACAAAACTGAGCTGAGGTTCAACGATAACCTCATCCGTGCCGGTTAGTGTCAACGGAAACAGCAATAAATCCGGATTGCATCTTACCTTTTCTACTTGGAGGCTCCATAATCATTTTATACTGCAATTCTGCAACATGTATGAAAGGAAAACATTAGCATCATTATAGGGAGCGACAGTCCAAGCAAACAAACCTTGTGCAGTTTAGGTCCTGACTGCACTGACAGTGCAAAGAAAAAGAGACGGCTGGGAACTCTGGTGGGTGGTGACATGCTGTGGCCTGTTCTGATACCGGATCTTTGTCCGCCTCCTGCAGAGAAACTGTCAAACACTGCCACTACACCTAGATTGAATATCCTTTTTTTTTTTGTCAACATCTCATCAGGAGACAGCCAGCTCTTTGACTCTAAGTCATTACAGCGGTAGTCACAGGGTACGGCCATTGCAAATGGAAAATAATTATGTGCAGTTTTTTCATTGAATTGTTTGACATCAGGTCAATGAAGCTGTCTCATATCCTGATGAATGCTATTACCCTACAAATGGTAGCGTTTCTAACCTTCTGTGTATTGACAACAAACTTTCTTATTCTGAAGCATCCTAAAATCAGTGTTGTATAAAGTACAACAAAGTGTTCCTTGAGTAAAAGTACAAGTATATATCCTAAAGTATCTGATGTTTTTTGTACTCAAGTATTAAAGTAAAAGTACTGATTTAAATTGAGCAGTTTTTACGTAATGACATTTATTAGGTGATCTCCCTCCAAAAATAAAAAAAATAAAAAATACAGAAATG